AAATGCAGAAACATTCATGATAATGTTTACCTTGTTAAGAGTTTCCCCCCTACCTTTTACAAGTTTGAAGAAATCAGTGTTTTAGGATTTTCACTGCAGGGTTTATATAGATTTTTCTCATGGTTAGTCAGGAGAATTAGAGAAGATACTGGTTAAGTTCTACTCTTAATCAAAGATTTATTTGTAGGACCCCTTAATACACTGTTGAAACTCAATATAAGGCTACCAAATACTTACCAGACCTCTGCCTTAGCATGGACTTACACAGACTTCCTTCTCATTCACCCTTGTGCTGCATAAGCTCTTAAACTTTTGTTTTGCTGGAAGCTGCAGCTGTGGAGCATCTTTTTGCTGATATACTGGGTTTTTTTAGGGGATATTATTAGCTTGTTGAAATGAAACTGCTGTTGATATGAAAAGCTTTAATATGAAACCAGGATGAGGTGACCTGGAACTAGGATGACTTCATTGTTTTGCCAACTATATATATTCTTATAAGGCTATTATGTCTTGGCCATATGCATATGGAAGTTAATGAGGATTAATATGTAGGTTTTATAGCACTAATACTAGACAGAATGATAGTCCCATGTTTAAGAAAATAGAAGAACTAACTATTCATCAATGTCCCATCTGGCCCATTGAAAAAGACAGCAACTGGCCAGTGCCTTATTTGATTCAGATGGATCATTGAGTGGTCTGTTGATCACCAGTGGAAACGGTTAAATTACTTACAGTTTATTGTGTACAATCCATTCAGGGCGGGTGGAATAGATGATCTTTAAAGTTCTTTTCCTGCCCAAACCATTTTGTGATTCTGTGCTCATTAGCAAAAATTTCTAAAGGTCTTCCCTCTGTCCTGTCTTCTGTTGTCTTGATCACATAAAACTGTCACAATTCTGTGTTCTGGGTACTTCTGTCAAGGCTCCCTACTGCAGTCTCCAGCTCACTCTTTGGGTGGGAATTGGCTGGTAAATTGAAGCTGTGAGACCCTGGCAGTGTGTGCTGGAGAACTAAGAAGGGCTGGAAGAGGCTGAACAGAAATATATTTCATCCCGGCTGAAGGAGCTGGAGGCCACTTAAATGAGGCTGAGAGAAGGGCAGGACTCAGAAAAGTGGTACCATCAAACCCCTTTACATGGAAGGTCAATCACAGGGACTCCTGAGACTCAGATGTTCAGAGGGCAGAGTGAATTACAGCACTTGTGAAATACCTCCCTAGATTGAAAGCACTGCCACTATTGATAGACTAAAGCCTGAAGTTCTATTAGTTTATCCTGGAGCAGGATGACTTAAAACTGGTGTGCCTAGCCTTTCTTCCTTATCTCAGAGAGGGGAAGATTTATGAGTAAGAAAGAGGGAAAAGAAACTGCAGTAAAACCTTGATGCTTCCACAGAGTCATTCTCTCCTATTTTCAGATCCTACTAATCCTCTTTTAGAACTTTTTGTCTTTTTGCTGCCAAGTAGAAGCCAGAATACTCTTTGTTCTTGCCATGCCTATGCAGGATAATAACAGGCAACAAAGAGTTAAGCAACTAACTAAAGTATAATGGAAAATAGCTGTCTTCCTTTTGAAGCTGAAGGTGACATTTGAAAATCCATGTATTTGGTAGCTAGTTACTGCTTGCTGTGTTGTACGTGCTTCACTGCCTCACAGGATTCTTGCATAGACCAGGATAAATCATGGCAATCTACATTATAGAAGACTCTAAAATATATTTACAATTGGTTTTAATTTATTAAACTGAGGGTGGGCTAGACTTTTAAATGCTGTCTTTTGATCAAGAGACTACACAGCTTGAGGTTTACAAAATGCTGGAAGAGGAAAGAGTATAAATAGAAGCACCACTTCCTTGTTGAGTAGAAGCCAAACTTGTGGTTGAACCTTTCTATATGAGAGTTTGCTGAGGTCCAGATAGGCAGCTGAATGCAGATTTCTGAAGACACCAACAGTTCTGCGTTCTAAGGGAGGATGTACATAGTACATACTAAAGACTGGGCTGGGTATTTCTTTCCTGTGGAACACCTGGCTGCGGTTCTTGGAAAAAGAAGATACCAATGGAACTTGGAGAATGTTGGTATAAATCCAGCACCAACTCAGTGAAAGGAGAAATGCATATCTGACCTTTCAGTGCAACACTGATTATTTGGGCCTGGAAAAGGCATAAAATAACGTAAAAACAGCCTCCTAAGACTAAGGATTTGAAATACGAGCTTATCTGAACAGTAGGATAAATACACTTACTGCTTTCCTTTCAAACTTAAAATATTTTTCCACTGGTAAGTAAGGGAATATTTTACAGTAATAAACATGATTATTTTCTTCCTGATAAATTTTCCCAGTGATGTTCTGCATGTTACAGATTATGCTTCTGATGTTTAAACCTAATTACACTGAATTAAGTGCCCTTCATTTCTAATTCTTACAGACTTTAAACAGTATATGACATTTTTTGATATATGACATAGATTTATTTTCTGTAGGAGTTTTATGACTAAACCTTTGCACAATGCTTAAACTAAGGGATATCTGAGCCAGAATCTAATTGTTTTGTAAAATGAATAATTTTGTGTTTTATCTCTTGATTAAAATACAGCTTTAAACTTGCTCTAGTTCAAACAAATTAATTCAAGAAATCTTAGGGCCTATATTTTTACAGGAGGTTAGGCTAGATGATTATGGTGGTCCCTCTGGCCTTATCTATGAATATATTTGCAGTTCAGCTCTGATGAAAGACATTTTGGGGGGGGAGCATTGGCAGAGATCTGGTAGCACTTCTTACTAAGGTCATGTATTTGTGATCTTTTTCCAGAGCAAGATTTCAGTTCCTTAGTTTGGCAAAACTGTAATTATATACCTATTTACATCAAGATTGTGTAAGAGGAATTGTTTGTGTTTGTTTGTGGTTTTGTTCTCAGTGTGTTTAAAGGCAATTTGAATTGTGAAACACTATAGGTATCGCTACATTTTAGCCTTCTTAAGAGCTTATGAACTCTGGGAATTGGATGTCAAAGTTCTAAGTAAAAAAAAAGTCATTTCTCTCCGATTGAGCTGTTCCTATTCTTCCTTTCCTGTAAACATTTTTGACCTTTGGTCCTGATTTCAAACCAAGATGTCTTTTCATCTTTAGGAAAACTAGTCACAGGGAAAAGGTATATTCTGGATAGCATTAACACACATGAAATTTTTTTGTTACTGTTTTTTTCATAGAAAAACTTCTGAGTGCTTTCTCAGGAATGGTATTGGTTCCTTTGTTTCTTAAATCTCTGGTGTAACTATTTTAGTATGTTTATACATACACCCAACTTTACCCAGTATGTCCCTTTGCTACTGACTGGCTACGCAGCTCTGCCCCTGCACACTTGGGGGGTTGTTGTCCAACTCACTGCAGTCTACTTACATCCTCACAAGTCTCCAGGCAGCCAGCATAAGTTCCCGTGATAAATCTTGATTTCAGGGAAGGGTATCCTGTGGAGTCTTTCCTCCTGCATCGTTCATGGAATGTAGGACTAGAACAGAACACAAAAAGGTCATTCATCTTTTTTGTCTTGCCAGGATTGAAACCATTCATGACAGATGTTTCTTCAGCCTACCTCTGAAATCCTTTGGAGATGGACCACTCTTTAGAGAAACTACTTCCTTAGGTTGTTCAAAGTGCTTAAGTAACCTTACTCCTGGAGAAACTGGTCTAGCCTAAATCTGGTACAATTTAAACTTGTTTACACTCTCATCCACAGCAAACGTATCAAAAATATGGCTTACTGTCCTCTTCATATCATCTGTTAACCATTTGTACACCTGCCCCAGGCTGGGTGTGTTTACAAGGCCCGTAATAATTTTTATTTGTAGGACTCTACTTCATTGCAAACATAAACTAATGGTTTGACATTATTTCTTTTCATGGTTGTTATTTATCTTATTGTCTACAGGTGCTTAAAAATTGTGTCTTTTTCGAATAGTGGGGGTGGAATTGAAGAATGACTGATGCCCCACCTCCTTTGGTTCCTCTCCTCCCCCTTTCCTTTTTTAAGAGTTGTTGTGAGTTCAAGTGCTTTGGAATGTTATGCAGAGAATTACTAGTTTCCTGAGAAGCATTTTTCAGCTCCAGAAAAGGTCTTGGAAAGCGTGGACATTAATGGAATTAATAGGCATTAAAGACCTGTGACAAAGATGATGATGATTCTCAGCATACACTGTTAGGAATAATCATGGCTGGGCTTCGCGAATGAAGATTTGGGAAGGGCTCTACCCACGTTTGTCACAAGCGCGTTGGTGGCTAAAAAGGCCAATACGAGACAGGCATGTCCGGTTGCAAAAGGCACAGCAGAAAGACTCCTTAGGTGGTAAATTCTGCAAGGCACGATTCTTTCTGGGTTGCCTTTTCTCCTCAAGGGTGATCCTGCATGCTTTAGGAATAATACTGGGGTATTAAAAAGCAGGCAGGATGACCAGATATTACGGCTTGTTTTCATAAAAAGCTTTACCAAATATCGCATTGTACTTGGGGGATGTGACCAGTCAGACCTGGGGGACTGATGACAGTGTGGAGCTAACATGCATGGACCTTGGGTGTCATTGGCTTTCCAGGCTAACTGGGCGTGGGCAGAAGCTGGCTGCTTTTGCCAAAGGCTTCTGCCAGGTGCATTGGCTCTGACTAAACCTCTGGACAAAATGGAACAGGACAGCCAAAACCAACAAAGAAGTTAAACTACAGTAACTCGAACCCTTTCATTTAGAATTGTTGTTGCCAGTCTGTTTAAGGAGTTAAGTAATTTAAATAATTGACACAGATTTGTTCCCAGGTTTTGCAGACCACTTCTCAATTTTTTTCTCTTTACTTGCATTCAAATTTGTAAAATACAGATGTGTTAACAGAGTTCTCCATTTCTCAGGGAATCATATAATTTGATTTTAGGAAGACTGATGATTTTTTCTTATTCTGTATAAAAGATGAATGATTTCAGTGATTTAATAGGTTTTTTTTTTTTACTTCTCTAGGTGACACAGTTGATGATCAAAGTAGAGAGTCAAAGGATAAAACTTCATTTCCGGAGACCAGACCAACATATAACCAACCTCCACAGGTAGGGGACTATTTCCTTTTGTATACATGATAAAACTTCCGTAGCAGCTCATTTAAGAAGCGTGAATGTCCTGCAGGAGATGGTGTCACCATATTCTCATCTTCCATCATAGGCTGAGTGACTGCTCAGCCTTCCTTGTCATCTATCATAAAAGCAGCACTGCTACTGATTAGATGGCAATAAATATCAAGCTCACCACTATCGATTTGAAAAAGAAATAGTAGAAGGCTGGGCTGTATGGTATTGCTGAGTATCTTATTTTTATACTTGGGTTGTGCAAGCATGAAACTGTATCTAGAATGTTAATGAATTGCATAGAAGCATTAGTGTGGTGAGTAGTGATGGAAAATGTCACACATTTACGTAAGTCATCTATTTCCACAACTACCATTATAAGTAAGGTGTTGTAAATGTGTGAGTATAATTAGACTGTCCTTATTGTATGTTTCCTTTCTGTTTCACTATATGTGGCTGTAAATCTGGACTTCTTTTTCTTTCATTTATTAAATATTTGATACATGCTTACTGAAGAAATATTTTTCAGAATATTTCTGCATATGATGTACACATACTTTTTCCTCCTCCTCCTCTGAAAATATTTTTGCACTAAGTATTAGCCTGTTTTCCATTGCCATATAGTTTTAGATATTTTCAAGATAACTGAGAGACATTTGGCTTGGAGTTTTTGTGCTTTTGGGGTGGTTCATTTTTTTGCTTAACCTATGCTGTCTGTCTTTTCTGTATCTAGCCTTTGAACTAACAGTGTTTGTCAGTCTGTCTCTTCTCAGTGCTATTTCAATATCTATTATTGCTAAGTCCCTTGGTATATTAGAGATGTGTGTGACAATGTTGCACCTTCAAGAGTGGTCAATATGTATGTGAGATCTGTAGTCTTCTTTTTTAATTTAAAATTAAAAACTGTGTTCTATACCAAAATCTTTAATTCGTTGTAAGTAATGAGTGGTTTTGTGGAAGTATGAATAAGTTCCAATTAATCACAAAGTTTTTAATCTGACTTTTGGATCCATGCACATCTGAACCAGGGTGTTTTGCAGCTGAAGTCCTGTCAATTTGTGCAGTATAATTAATAGGTGTTGTAGTTACCTACTGTACAGACATAGTTTCCTTTGATGTGATTTTCTTGCTGGGTATGGTGAACTGCCAGTTATTGCAGCATTGGTGGTTTGTTCAATTCTGTAGAATTTTAGGAATAGAGGAACTTGTATAGATTCTGAGCTGTATCAGTTAAAGGGAAGAAGAAAAGTCTTCAAAGTAAAATAGTAGATATTACAGTGAAAATAAAAATTTGTTTTCACCTTTCTACTAAAAGACTTATATGTCACAAAACTACTTGTATGAACTGGCTTGCATCAGCATCAGTTAAATTAAGATACAGCACTTGGTAGTATCTACGGTATTCATTCCAGTCTAGATAGTTTTTGGACTTCACATTTAGTCAAAGGAATTCTCAAGTTCTCAAATTAAGTAGAGTAACTAAGGATCATAGCAATTAAATGGATAATTCTGGCCTTTAGGAAAGGAATATTCCTATTTTCAGTGGTGAGTATATTTTCATAAATTTGTGGGAGAACTGTACCAATTTAGAGAAACTGGAAAAACATTGTATTACATATTCAATGTATCATTGAGACATAGAACATCAATTTAAATAATAACTTTGTTAGCATTAAAACACGAATACTTGATAAACATAGAACAGTATGTTATAAGATACTTGTTAGGCTGCAAAGTAGCATCAGATATTTGTAGTGCAGAACTGAACAACAGCATGTTTAGTTCATCAACTGCATGTTTCAATTGCTGGAAATTTACTTTTCTTTTTAAATATAAACTATTTAACAACTTATTAAATATAAACTTTGTGGAACATGGAAAGTACTTTTGGAAGTGTGATTTAAAGAAGAATGAAATAATACTTTGTTCATGGATCACATCCTTATTCAAAAGGGAAATGAAGGTTGAATTTGATTTTTTGAAGAAAGTATTTTCTGGAGCATTTTTTGATAACTGCCATCATCTTTGGAATTTCCCATTTACTTAGGTACTATTGTATTTGTTCACTGTACAATTACTGAATTTTCAGGTACATATTTATGTATAATCTTGTACAGATGATTTAAACTAATGTACAAATAAATATTCTCACCAAAATCATCTTGCTGGAACTAGGAACTTGTTACAGAATCTCTTGTAACAATTGCCATACCTGCAGTCAGCGTTATTTTTAGATGTTGCAGTATTGCATTCCTGTTAGAGGAACTGCAGATATTTAGAAACTTGTTGGAGGAAGGGTGTTCTCAAAGGCCAACTTTAGCCTGAACATTTCATCTTCTGCTTCAGACAGCAGGAACACAAGCTCATGGCATCTCCATCTCCGCGAGTAGGGACGGAGGTTTGGGAGGGTCATCTCCCGATGCCGAGTCCGTCCTAGAGGGACATGTTGTCCAGCAGGATAATGAGTGCTCTGGGCCTAATCAAGCATGTCTGATCCCACTGAAGTTGCTTCAGGCTCATGAACTAAAAGTCATACACACATTTAAGTGCTTTTCTGGATTGGGTCCAAAAGGGTTAGTGCTCTGCAGGGCCAAGAACTTAAATTAGTCTCTTTGTGACTGCGAAATACAAAGCTTCTAATTTTAACTGCAACACCATCATAATGGAAAGAGATACTCTGTTTTTATTTTTTATGTTTGTGATTTTTCCATTATTTTAATACAATTTTCAGATAATTCAATCTTTATCTGCTTTCACTGAAAAGGTTATAGAAAATGACAGAATGGAAGGGTTAGTTTTGATATATGAAGAGTGCTAGAAACCCCATTTTTGATTATCCAATCATTTTTGAGAAGGAGCTATTCCACTGGTAAAGCAAATTAGTGCAACCATGTATTTTTGCCCTACTGTGAGTACAATTATGTAGCATATCTATTAGGAGACATAAAACATATTTTTGACAGATGGTATGGCTGTGAATTAGGATTTATGAAGATTATTGTATGTCTGGTGTCCAGGACACCTGGGATTATTACATTGATGTAAGACACAACAACAAAAAAAATTACATTTCTAGTAATCACTGCAGTGTTTTGTATCTCCCTACTGTCACCTTAAGAAGCAGCTCATGTTCATTTGATATTGCACTTCTTGATAATCTGACATGTGCTCTTTAGCCAACAGATGTCAGCAGATTTAATGGCTGAAAACTGTACCAATAAATGTATTAAAATAAACTACCAAAAACAAGAGCCATCTTTAGATTGTAAATTAAGATTTTTATCTTGCTGTATGTTCTTTTTTTTTGTTTTTCTTTGTGGTCCTAATTCTCCCTCAGATACTTAAAAGCCATTGCCTTCCATCTAAGGAGCTTGTTATACGTTTTCTAGGGCAAGAGAGAATCCCCCAAGGGATTGCTTAATCCATAATTATCTAATTTATATGTTGTTGTTATAGCCACTCTTAATTATATACCTTGCTGTGATACTTATCATCTTAGGACTTCGTTTTCTTTATGAATTGTATTAGTTGCGTTACGGTTCTTGTGTCCTTTCTTTTCATAATTTGCTACTGAAAGCTGAGAACATAGCAGATAGAAAGCCCATGTTTCCTGAATGAAATTTAAAATTATCTATGGTTTTCTGCATATCAATAATGGTGTGCACCATTTTGGGCAAGAATCTAAATAAATTAGAAAAGATATTTTTATGTCTGACCTGGCAGATATCCTCCTCATTAAAGTCATCCTTTGTAAAGCTGCTATGTAAGGATTCTAAATGGAGGTAAATAATATTTTCCTAGACATCTGGTCAGGGGACATATGAGTCAATTGAAAAGACAGAAATACTATGAGATATAAAATACCAAGGAAGAGATAATGAGAGTTGTGAATAAACAGAATAGGGGAAAAATAATTTAATTTTTTTTTACCTTTCTAGTGAAATTAACAAGTGTTGCTGAATTTGATAGACTTTAGAGCAGACCAGATGGTATAATTCAGAGCATGAATATATTAATGTTATCTTGTTTTAAATTTATTATTATTTTTATTATTATTATTATTAAAATTAGTTGATTCTATCTGAGCTATTATTACCTGGTTTTAACTAAAGCTTGGGTGTCTGAATTATTTTCACAAATTACTAGAAAAGAAGGTATTACTGATCCTGTCTCTGTTCAGTCACCCAACTCTTAGGTTGTGGTTCAGGGAGTGTCATATTTAAACTCTCAAGAGGGGTGTTCTGGGCTAGATTTGTTGCATCAATTTAAATTCCCTACGTTTACTTCAGAGGAAGTATTTGTATTTCAAAATTATTGTGACCACATCGTTTGTGATTAGTTTGCTCTTTTTTGACAAAACCCAGTGTCTATCAAAAATGTTGCTCCTTAGTTCAGCTTTTTTTTTTAATGGTCTCATAAGGTAGAATTCTAGTCATGGCTTGGTTAGATTAATTGCTTGTCATATGTCATATTAACTCTAAGACCTTCTTTTTTACAGATAAAGTTCTTAAAGCATGTTGGTCCATATTTTCTCTCTTCTTAATTGCGTATGTAAAGCAGTAATCACTTAATGAAATAATGCACTCTTAAAAGGGACTGGAATAAGACTGTCTGCAGCAAGTCCTCAAGCATATACTTTCCTCTGAATGCTGGTACCATCAGAAGAAAGATCTTGTGTTTTACTCAACTATCATGCATGATCATAAGCTATAAGAAGTGAAGTTTTAACATTACTTCGAAGAAGGATGACTAGTGTTTAGTGTAGGCAGCTGCAGTGGACATGATCTTTCTTAGCTTCCTTCATCCTTTGCACGTATAGTAAATAGCTGGCAGTTTTTTGAGAGGATCCATGTGCAACCACAGATGGAAATTATGTATGAAGTAGAGCTGCCATATGACAAGAAGGGTACAGTATATGGTTGTGATCTTATTGAGAATGAAGGTAAATAGCCCATTCAGCTAAAAAAAGAACAACTATTACATAT